CTTCGCGGCTCCCTGCAGCCGCTACGCGCACCCACCGCGGCGGCGACGCCGCTGCCCTCATTCCCCCGCCCCAACTGCGCGCCCAGCCGCTCTACCGCATCGCACCATAACGTCCGTAGCGCGACATCTTCCCAGCTGCGGGCCGAGCTGCGCGCGCCGCCCCCTTATATAGCGGCGGCCGCGGCTGCGCGCCCCAACGGCCGCACGCCGGGGCGGGGCGCGCGTCGCCTAGCAACGCGCCAGCTCTCGCGCGGTTTGCGCCGTTGCCCGCGGCCGTTGGCGGCGGGCTGAGGGACGCGCCTTACAGCCGTGGCGTTCTTGGCCCCGCTCGTCTGCATGAGCTGGGAAAGCTCCCACTGAGCAAATACTCTCTTCCCGACCCTTCCTTTGCAAGGAACAAAGACCTTCCCACCCCCATTCCTCTGAAACAGCTGATGCAGTGAGAAAGCGGTGGTTTTTTGTTTGTTTCCAAATCCTTACCCCTCCTAATAATGTTAAAAATCAGGCCTTGCATCACAGTGAAGGTTTTATAACAGAAGAATCATTGCGAGGAAATAAAAATTAGAACAAAGTTTCCATCTAGTTTGGGAGGTCCCAAGTATCACAAAGAAACTTAAGCACCTTGTCTTTTATTATTATTCCAGCTATTCTCTTTCTGTGAAGAACACAGTTCACTGAAATGTGCCTACTCCAGTAGAAAATGGCATAGAATTAAGGACAGAGGAAAACAGCTTAAATTTCTCTTTGAGCTCTGAAGATATCGCCACAATATTTGCTCATAGATGTAGGTTTAGATATCAACACTTTTAATAATAAAAAGAAGCGTATGCAAAATGCTCCYCTGCTTTTAGTTGATGTTGCCAGATTCATCCTTTTCTCAGTATGTAACAGTCAACAACAACAAAACACTGCAGTTTTGCATGTTGTGAGCATAGCTCCTAAAGGAGGACTAAACATAAACGCCTATATACAAGCACTCTGAACATCACGGCTGCTTTTCGAAATAACCCTGTATCAAGCTCTGGACCCGGGCGAGGATGATCTCGTTGGAGCTGCTGCACTCCTCGGGGCCGTAGGGTGGCTCGACCGTGAGCGCGCCCGCCACGCACAGCGTCTCCCCCGACGCGCCCTGCTCTGTCACGGGGATGTGGTTGGCTTCCAGCCACGTCTTCAGGCCGCTCTTCCTCCTCTCCAGCTCCTCCGGGCTATAAGTTTTGCTCTCCTCTGGGGCAAATATCTGAGAAAGTCGTTGCTTCATTTCCTCATCTGCTTCTTTAAGGATTTGGACATCCTGGATAGCGTGGCCTGAGACAACTGAAATTACTGTCTTTTCATTCTCAGGAAAACTTGCCAGGACAATACTGCCAAGAAAGGAGGGAGGTATTAATGAGTATAATTAATGGGAAGCTGGGAAACACAGGCCCAGAAGTTTGGAGGTGAATGCTCAGCACAGTCCACATTTGTAGGCAATACTGAGTACTTAGCAGTTTTCTTGAAAATCATCGTACCCATTCACTGCTTAAGGCATGATTTTTTGTGGGAGGAGTCGGTAACTTCTGGCCCTAGACTATATAACTGTTCTACGTCCTATCCAGCAAGACATTATACTATATTAACAAAAAAAAAAAAAAAAAAAAAAGTCAGAATCAGGGCTGGAGACCAAATATTCTGGGGCATCTTTGCAAAAGCATCTTAAATCTTCCAGCTTCCAAAAACAACAGCATCTTTGTATGTTGCACACTTGACAGAGCTGATGGACAACAACATAGCTTTAAGGCCTTTTAATCATTAATTATGAATATTTAGCTATTGATCGTTACTTTTTTTTTTAAATAAATATTGCCTCATGAGCTTGGTATATCATTAAAAGCAGTTCTAAATGTGGGGGCAACATTCAAATTACTAACCCCAGTTCTGCAGTAAAGCCAGCATGAGTCCAGAGCAAAGCTCCTCACAGCTATTATCTGCTCTCCCAAATTCACTTGGGCTTTAGGTGAACTGGCCTCATCACCTGCAACATCCCTTAATTAAAAATAATAATAATATAAAGTAATACTGGCACAGACCCTCTGCATGCAATTTTTATTCCAAGCAAGTTTGCCTTGGAATCCTCTTTTCTCTTTATGAAAAACTTTTAAGTTTTCCCTTAGTTTTATGGAAACAATAGCTCTGGTACTTACTTAGCAGAAACTGGGTCCACTGTTAGGACCCAACCTTCATATTCATGCTTCTCGGCTGCTGCGACTTTCACTTGTTTATCCACGTAGCCTTGCCAGTCTAGTGGGCTTTTCCTTTGCCAGTCATTCATATTTCCTATGTCTACTGCCTCGGGAAGACGCCAGAGCAATTAGCAGACTTAACAAAAACCTCCCTTCTTTGACCCTTTCCCGCTAGAAGGAAGTTTGTCTCCAGGTGACCATTTCCCATTCACCTCTTTGCCTCAAAAATCATTGTTTTGCTAACAATACTTCCAACACTCTGGGTAGTTTTCCTGCAGCCGTGTTGTCTCTGGGAGCCTCCCGAACGGCTGCCTCTGGAGGGCAGGACACTCCCGCCTTTGCCTCGTAACCTGGGACAAGGCTTGTTCCCAAACTCTTCTCTGGCATTGCCCTTCCCAATTCGTGTGCTGCCTTCCTGCCCTGCGGATCGGCTCCCGTTTCAAGCCAGGCTTACACAAACATCCGCCCGCCTCCCCTCCCTCCTTGCCCTCCTCCAGGATCCCCACGGGAAGGGGCTGCAGAAGGAAGGATGGGGCTAGCGCGGCGCCAGAGGCAGCGCGAGGACAGAGCTGCCACCCCCCCGTCCCTGCCTGTTCCCAGCTGGAGCAGCACGAATCGGGGCTTCCTCCCGGCCCTGTGCGGCCGGGATCCCCCGCGCGCTAGGGCCGCATTCCTGCTCACCCACAGGAGCTCCCGGCCGCGCTCTCCCGAAGGGAAGAGCGCGGGGCAGCCGGCGCGGGACGCGCGCGCGAAGGCCGCGCCACTTCCTGTGGCGCCCGGCAAACACCCGCCCCTGCTTCCTCGCCTGGCTCCGCGCAGCGCTGCGGGCCCCCGAGGCAGAGAAGGGCCGCCAGCCGGGGCTTTATTACCTGTACATTTGTGTGCGCACACAGACACGCGCACAGGCTGGGTGGCATTGCAAAGTGAGGTGCGCTGCACACGGAGCGTTTAGTGCAGCTGCCTTGCTGCCTTCTGCGCCACTTAAAGACGGCTGAGGTTGCCAGTCCTGCTGTCGTCAAGATGGGATTGGGAACTCAGAGTACGCAAAACCAGGGCTGAAGCCCTTCCAAGCAGCCTGTGTGCAAAAAGCAGTACAGATGCGTTCTGTATCTACTTGGTAAAATGTCCGTGCATTTACCGTGTTTTGGGGGGGTTGCCAGAGAATTGTCTTTACAAGCTTTCCTGTGCAACCGGGATGTTGAGAAACACTTTTTTGTTTGTTTGTTTTGGGTTTTTTTTTTTTGTTGTTGTTTGTTTCTTTTTCCAGAAAGCTGCTTTCTTTTAAGGCTGCTAGTGAAAAGCTTCCCATAAGTGAGGCAAACAAGCCTCCATCGTTTCAGTAATTCAAGGGAAAACAAGTAGGTGATGATTTTGTGATCCTAGCAGAAAAAAAAGTCTAAAATGTGAAATATACACAATCTTATTTTGCAAGTTAAAGGAGGCATATCCCTTTTCTTCTTTTATGAAGATTCAATTCAATTTGCACAGAGTGGTGATGGTTATTCATGAGTGATGCATGCTACAGTATTCAGTTCTTTCAAAGTTTTAGTTTATTAGGAGCAGGGGGTTAGCAAATCCAATTGCTTTCACTGTAGCAGTGGTAAGGGAATAGTGGTGGCACCGTCTGGACCTACAGCAGGGATAGATATGTTAGCCCATTGCAGGAGCATGCTTGGTGCACCAAGTCTGTAAACACACTGAGTGGTCTCCACACCAAAGTCTACATTTAATTCTGTGCAGAGCCAGATGCTTGGCCATCATTCACCAAGCAAGCATATCCCAAGGCATTACGCAAATTTCTACTTGTTAGTGCAGGATTCATTAGCTTACTTAAATATATTCTTACCTACCTGAGCATGTGCATTACACAGGTTCCTGTGTTTCAGGCACAGCAAGGCAGTAATGATCTCATTGTCAAATTCATAAATGTGCGTTTTTTGCTATGTTAATAAAGCTTAAACAGATTTAGGTTACTTTAAGTAAAAGCTCAGTTCTGCTTTGTCACGAGCTCTGTGTAGGCCTTGTCACCTAGGCCTAAGCAATGAGGTGGCACGTTTCATGTTTTATCTCAAGGCTACACTGCTGAGCATTGGTCCATGGTAAGGAATGGCATGGGGTGGGGTGGGAGGGAGCACCAAATGAGGTTTTGTACTGATGGTGAGCAGGCACATCAGCAATATTCACAGTGCCATTCCAGATTAGCTGCCTATTGGTTGCTTTCTGCAGAACACATTGTTAACAAAGCAAAAGAAGATATCTGCTTTAGGTACGGTAACTATATGAAAAGAATAAGTCCAAGGTCTCATCATTTGGGAAACAATACCCAATCATATCAATTCATGGGATTAACTGAAATATATATCTTATACATATGAGAAGTGTAACTGCAATACTGTGAGTGGAGCTGGTATGCCTATGTAAGCCATAGTTAAGACATCGTCCCCTTACTGTCCCCCTGCAATACAGAAAGCAGAGTTGTTCTAAGGCCTGTCCAGCAGAGAACTGATTCACATGGGAGCTAGACAGGCATAAAGTTTGCGTGTTAGCACGTGCTGTCTTCAACCAATGTAGCACTAACATGGGATGGCCTTGAGATAGAGCCCAAGCCTGAACTATGATGGTGCTATGATGCCCTGATCATGCATGAGCTTGCCAAGCTTGCTTTAACTTTGAAGAAATTGCCATCTGATTGACCGCTCTATTATGCTGTGTTTGAGGATCTCCTCTTTTTGAACCAGTCGGCAGACCCTTGTAAGCTACCCAGCTACAAGTATAGAGGTAGCAGGCAATTCCCTCATGGAGAGACATGCCTATGGCCTTTAATTCAGCCTAATGAGTTGAGTATCCCAAAACATACTCCTCCTAACAAAGTTACCTGCAGGGTCCTGATGTCCTTTCTTCCCCTCTTGATTGCCTTGTAAATAGTGTTTCCATTGCCACTGAGTTGCAGCTTGAGCCATCCAGTCATGGGCCCTCGCTGCATTATGTGTTGCCCATACTTGGATGGGGATGGGAGTGTATACAATCAGGCGCAGTTTCACGTCCTGTAACTTGTTCGTTATAACTGCGGACCTCCAAGCCTGCAGCACTGCCAAAAGTTATTTTTCTAGAGGTGCATAATTTGTTACAACTTCCCTTTGTAGGGAATGGGATCAAAAACCTACAGGTTCCCACTTTATGTGGGCACATTGCTGCCAAAACCCCAGAGACACCACATCCCCCGTAACCATTACCTCCAACTTGAAAGGTTATCCCTTGTATGGAGTGAATATTTCAGATCTTGGACCACCATCTTCTTGCACCAAAAGTCCCCAAAAGGCTTATAGCTGCCTTAGAGCAGGGTACTGTTGAAAACTATTATATGCTTTCTCAGGGATAGCTTTTGTCTGCCTCCTACCTACTATCCATATGACTTGCACACTGGTGTCCCACCCCCATATCTTCTTGTGGATTTACAGCTCCTGGAAGGTCTGTAGTATCCATGGTAAGTGTTGACATACTCGTCCTTTAGAAGGCCTCATTATTAACATATCATCAATAAAAAGGTGGATGGGACCTTCCGTAAGGGGGAGTTTACAGGTAGGCACCTACTACAGAGGTTCATAATCACTGATATAATGCGGAAGCTAAAATAGCATTTCTTGACCCCTCCCATGCAGGAGTGAGCTGGGTAAGATAATACTGTGCTTGAGCAGCAGTTGATGAAGGACTCTTTCAATTCACCTGCTCTCTTAAGATAGTAAGCAATCTGGTAGCTGCTTCTCAGGCTAAGGTCTCTAAAAAGTCTCCTCAGGCTGCTGTTGGAAAGTAATTAAGAATTCATGCGTTTTCTTTGGGGTGTGTATCCCAGATTGTTCCACATTATTCCCATCTACTTGCCTCTGCCATTTCAGCTGCACAAGAGGTTGGACCTGGGGAGTAGCCCGTTCTCCTTCTAATGCAAATTCAAGCTCCAAGTCAGCCAAAGTACTGCACATGTTACCTTCCCACTCCCTTGGGTCTCAGGAGGGTCTAGTTAACATTGCTCTCACCTGGGCAGCAAAAGCTAGGGCTTATACCATAGCATGAATGCTATTTTTAGCTGTCTGTAAAGCTAATCACTCCACCCTTTGGGTTAATTCCTGACTCTTCTCAGCTTGTGTTGTAACCAGCTCTTGTACTACCACCTTCATGTCATGCAAACCTCCATTCTGCTTCTCCAGATCTTTCACTCATTGTTGCAAGGCCGATGCCTCATTATCTAAGATTCAAGTGCTTGGCAGCAGTGCCCACCCTTCTGAAGCAGCATGGAAGCGTATAGCCTGTAATGTGGATTCAGCTGCCTTGGGCTAGCATTTTCGTCTTGTGCCAACTCTGGGGGCAAGCAACACATCCACTGGCCCCTACCACCTAGCTTGGGGTCATCCTGGCATTTGCAGCTGAGCAGGCCCTTCTTGACTCCCACCTCTCTCCTTGATCATCATCGTTTGTGTATCCTGCTGACTACACCAAGTGTAAGGGACCACAGGGGCACTGCCTGGACTCCTGCTACGGAAGATACACAAACACAAGGCACACTGTTGTCAATACGAAGCTTTTATTACCTCTGTGTCTGAGCAGGAACTCCCCAAAGATTTCCTGGTGGAAGCAAAGAAGCAAGAGAGTCCTGGCAATGCTGAGCATCGGTCTACAGTGAGGAACTATTTTTTTTTTTTTTTTTGTACATAGGCAGCAAGCACACTGAGCTTATTTCCAATCTTTATTCCAGGACCTGGCCACATCACTATGCTGCTGTAGGTCAACATGCCTTGTTGATGCTCTTTTTCCCATAGGATAGTCTGGCTAGCTTCCATTGCCTATCTCAACATTCTTCTCCATTATACAATGTATGAACCTGCATGAGCCCATAGAGGCTGGCAGGAACCCATATGAACTCACATAAGCCCATACAGGCTGGCACGATCATAGTGGCCCATACAAGACTGTATGAGCCCACATGAGTCTGTACGGGACCATAGGAGACCACAGAAGCCTGCACAAGCCCATACAAGCCTGTAGAAGGTGCTACAAGCCTGTAGCAGCTTGTACGACAGCATACAACCCCATAAAGACATTCATGAGCCCGTGCAAGCCCATACAGGCCCTTATGAGACTGTAACACAAGAGAGTATGAGGCCATATAAGCTCATAGGAACAGGAAAAGATAACCTTTGTTATCTTTTGTTAGGGATGGGGATGAGGATGGATAGTTGGAGAAGAAGGAGGAAAAGCCACATCTAGGTATACTCACCTGACAGAGGAGTTTGGGAGGCAGAGGAGGCAGAGGAAAAGGAGGAAGAGGAAGCAAAGGAGGAGGTAGAGAAGCAAGAGGAAAAGCCACATCTCTGTACACTGTCCTGATAGAGGAGGAGAAAAAGGAGGCAGAGGAGGAGACTGAGGAGGAAGCCTTTTGTCACCATGGTCTCATGGAAAAGACCGAAAAGGAGGAAGAGGAAAAGCCACTTCTTGGTACACTGTCTTGAGTAGAGAAGAGTGATGAGGAGAAGGAGGCAGATGATGCAAAGGCAGAGGAAAGTCAAATATTAGCTCATCAACCTGATGTAGAAGGAGGAGGAGGAAAAGAGATGGAAAAGAAAGAGGAAAAGAGGCCTCTAGTACCAGCGGAGGAGAAGGAGAAGGTGCAGGAGGATCCTGCATTGATCCTGAGCTTGGATATTGCTAAATCATCCTATTTCTTGTCAA